GCCAGCAAAGCAGTGGACCTGCACTTCAAATTCCACTGGCTTATCTGAATACTTGGCATAGTTCTGGCTTCTGAGAGCAGGCATGCCAGGTTATAACTTGTGGAAATGTAGGGGAGGACAAGGAGGGAGAGAGAACTCGAATACCTGGCGTTATTACCCTCGTGAAACTCATTTGAAGAATCTGGTGAGATCCTGTAGGGCTCTCCAAGGAAGCCGTGCCATTCCTGCCACCCTGACCCTCTCAAGGAAATACCCAGTGCGAGTGTTCTGTTGGGAGACAATCAAATAACAGTGCTGGGGCAGCTTCTAAAGCCAAGTCAGCCGTTACTGCGACTTGTCTCAGGATTCTCATGTGGTGGGCAAGGGATAAAGCTCCTTTCGATGGGGGTTTTGAATCCTTTCTCTGTTGGTTTCTTAAAAATTTGGGAGAAAGGAAGGTGAGCAGGCATTTTATCCAAGGGCTAAGAGATAAAGCCAGGTTACAGAACAACTGGAATTCTGCCAAATTCATCCAAGGCAGGAAAACAAGGTGGCTGTTTCCTTCCCATGTGTCTAAACCAGCCTGTTGGCGGCCGGCCAGGTGAGGGCAAGTTCCCTGGAGCATCGGAGGTAGGTAGGCTCACGCTCCTTCCTGTCTGGCCAAGTGTCTTTGCTTTGAGAATTGCGCAGAGGGGATGGATTTGTCCTTTGAGGTGAATCAAGCTAAGTCCAGGGGGAGACCTGCAAACTTGGCTAAATCTTTCGTGTCGTTTTTTTGAGAAGCTGAAACGAACATTGTTAGGGCAATGCTAAATTTAATGCAGAGAAAAAAAAAAAAAACAAACTACCAAAGGGAGAGTCACCTTTCCAGAGGAAGATGTGCTCTTGACCTCTGCCCAGAGGGACAGAGCTGCAAAGTGCCCAAGCCGCAGAGAGTGACCAACACTGAGCCACCGGGTAATAATGGCCGGTGTTAATGTTTGTAGCTGCAGGAGAGTGCCAATTGTGTAGAGTGTAAATGGGAAACAGGGAAGGGTCATGATGGAAGATTTGTAAACATGTTATTGATGAGAACAGGGTGTTTCCCACAATTCGTCCAGGAGAATGAATTGTCTCCATCCAGGAGAATAAAACGCAACTCATGTAAAAGATGCTGTGATCCAGCGAATGGTGTCCTGCCCAAGGGAGAGGGGAGTCCGTTTGCCTAGACTCTAGAAAGGGAGAGGAAAGGCACAAGGATTTGTTGATGTTAAACCTGCCCTGCCCAAGGAATTCATGGATTTAACGAGAATCTATGGAGTAGCTGCTGTGTGAGTCAGGCAGTCGGGAGTGAGTCAAATGTTATCCCTGCTTATAGCTAGTGGGAGAGATGTCCTATCTGGTGGCCGTGGGTATTCTCATCTCAGTGCAGGTGGTTGGTTCTGTGATGAATCAGAGATCTCTGTTCTGTCACAGTCTGGAAATGTATTCCACCCAACAGACCCACCCTTTGCTTTTGTCCTAAATAGACCAAACAACATCTTGGGTATTTAGCTCCTGAGAAGAGGAGGTCTTGGATAGCAAATATATGCACAGGTACTGATAAACTATTTTCTGTTATAAACTGTTTGATTTCCTGTCCTCTTGTGAGCTTGGCTAATGTGAAACAGTTTTATCCGAGCCAAATTACTCCATGAGATTAAATATGAATCTGTAAAGGCTAAAGGATCTAGATTCTGAATGGATGATGTTAATAACAGTAATGAGGTCAGGCACGGTGGCTCACGCCTGTAATTCCAGCACTTTGGGAGGTCGAGGTAGGAGGATCGCTTGAAGCCAGGAGTTCAAGACCAGCCTGGCAACATGGCAA